AATTTGTCACCCAGGGACATCCAGGACCCCCGAATTTGTCACCCAGGTGTCCATGGGGGGTCCCCCAGGTGTCTGGGGGGCGGTTCCCACCCACTTTGAGGGGTCCTCAGGTGTCCCAAAATTGCTCCCCGTCATTCTGGAGTCATTCCCCGTCATTTTGGGGTCATTTCCCATCATTTTGGGGTCGTTCCCCGCCATTTTGGGGTCATTTCCCATCATTTTGGGGTCGTTCCTCGTCATTTTGGGGGTCCCCGCTTGGTTCCAGGAAGGATTTGGGGTGTCCAGGGGTTGTCCCCCATCGCTTTGGGGTCGTTTCTCCTCGTTTTGGGGTCACTCCCGACCCTTTTGGAGTCATTTTGTGTCATTTTGGGGTCGTCCTCTCCGCTTTGGGGTCGCTTTGGGCTCGTGGCCACCACCCTGGTGGTCACCCCCTCGATGTCCAGCAGGGATTCAGGTGTCCGGGGGTCACTCCCCGGCCACTTTGGGGTCATTTTGTGTCACTTTGGGGTGACCCCCCACCACTTCGGGGTCACTTTGAGGTCCTTCCTCACCACTTTGGGGTCACTTTGAGGTGGCCCCAACCACTCTGGGCTCGTGGCCACCGCCCTGGGGCTCACCCCCCTCAATGTCCAGCAGAAATTCTGATGTCCAGGGGTCCTTCCTGACCATTTTGGGGTCACTTTGGGCTCGTGGCCACCGCCCTGGGGCTCGTTTTCTCAATGTCCAGCAGGGATTCAGATGTCCAGGGGTCCTTCCTGACCATTTTGGGGTCACTTTGGGCTCGTGGCCACCACCCTGGGGTTCACCCTCTCAATGTCCAGCAGGGATTCAGATGTCCAGGGGTCACTCCCCATCACTTTGGGGTCACTTTGGGCTCGTGGCCACCGCCCTGGGGCTCGTTTTCTCAATGTCCAGCAGGGATTCTGATGTCCAGGGGTCCTTCCCGACCATTTGGTGTCACTTTGGGGTCACCCCCCATCACTTTGGGGTCACTTTGGGCTCGTCGCCACCGCCCTGGGGCTCGCCCCCCCCCCTCAATGTCCAGCACCGCCCAACCTCCCCCTCCGCCCCCCCACCCATCTCCATCCGGGAGAGGACCCAGCTCCGCGGGGGCTCGCCGCCCCCCTCCCCCCCACCCCCCATTTCCCCCGGGGGGCTCCCCCGAGGCCACGCCGGGCCCTCCCCCGCGGGGGTCAGCGCAGCAACACCCCCCCCTCGGCGGCTCCGGCTTCCAGAACGTTCTGAGCCGTGGTTTTGCCGTGCTGTTCCTTCAGGTGCCGCCGGATGGCGGGCTTGTGGGCGAAGCGCACGTCGCAGTAGGAGCAGCGGTAGGGCCGGGCGCCGCTGTGCAGGTTCAGGTGATCGTGCAGCGTGGATTTCTGCGTGAAGCTCTTGCCGCAGACGCCGCAGCCGTGCGATTTGACGCCCCGGTGCACGTTCATGTGCCGGTTCAGGTTGCTGCTGTGGTTGAACTGCTTGCCGCAGCGCGGGCACATGAAGACGAAGTGTTGGGCTCGCATGTGGAACACGAGTTTCTCCACGCCTTGGAAAGCCTCCCCGCACTTGCCGCAGCGGGAGGATGATGAGGATGAAGATGGAGAAGGCGTGGCTACCGCTGGAGCCGCCGTGGTGGCCCCCGAGGCTCCGACAGCGCCGGCGCTCCCCGCGGTTTCCTCGGTGCCGCCTCCTCCTCCTCCGCCGCCGCCGCCTCCGCCGGGAAAAATCAACAACCCCTCGCCCTCGGCATCCTCGGCCAGGCTGTAACAAGCCTTGACCACCCCCAGCTGCGGAGGGCACGGAGGCTCCGCCTGCGCGGCCACCGCCCCGGCCACCGCCGGCCCTCCCGGAGCGGCCACCGCCGCCTCCCCGCCGACCACGGCCGGCCACCTCCGCCCCCGGCGCCGCGGCGTCACGGCCGGCTCCACCTTCACGATGCAAACGTCGGGAGCCGCGTCCTCTTCATCCTCCTCTTCCTCGTCCTCCTCGGGTTTGGGCGGCTGAGCGGGTGTGGCCGGCGGGGCTTGGATGAAACGAGCCAGCGCCCCCCGGCAGCGCTCCACCACGTGCTCCATCTGCAGGTAACTGGCGGCCGTCAGGTAATTCACCAGGTCCCTGCCGGCGAACTCCAGCGCTCCCGTGTAACACGAGAGCAGCAGGTCGGCCAAGACGCGAGCGCTGTGAGCCAGCGACACGCGCAGCTCGGCCGCCGGGTTCAGCAGGAACTGATCCCGCAGGAAAGGCGAGCAGGCGGCCAGGATGACCCGGTGGCCGCGGAAGCGCAGGCTCCTGGCCACGATGGTGACGTCGCAGAAGCGCTCCTCGGCCCGAAGGCGCGTCATGGAGCGCAGGGCGGCGGCCTCGTGGCCCGGCAGCTGGAAACGGAGAACCTCGGCGGCGCAGGAGGACATGGCGGGGGGGGACTGGGAGGGACTGGGAGTGCGGTTATGGGCACTGGGAGTGAATGGGAGTGGGGTTATGGGCACTGGGAGGGACTGGGAGTGCGGTTATGGGCACTGGGAGGGACTGGGAGTCCCGTTATGGGCACTGGGAGTGAATGGGAGTGGGGTTATGGGCACTGGGAGTGAATGGGAGTCCCGTTATGGGCACTGGGAGTGAATGGGAGTGCGGTTAAAGGCACTGGGAGGGACCGGGAGAGACTGAGAGAGAGGTTATGGACACTGGGAGTGAATGGGAGTGCGGTTAAAGGCACTGGGAGGGACTGGGACTGGGATTATGGGGACTGGGAGTGAGTTTGG